AATGAACTATTTATTCCAACCTCTGTATCATTTATGAACAAATTTAACGGAATCAGTCCCAGGACAGAGCCCAGGGACTCCTCGCTCACAACTCCAGTCCATTCTGAGAATATTCCATTAATCACCACCCTCAGGACGTGCTCCTGCAACCAAGTTTCTATACAGGTACACACAATATCAAAGCCAGAAGACTGTAGTTTGTAAACTAAGCATTTATGGGGTGCTGTGTCAAATGGCTTACTAAAATCTAGGTACATGCTGCATCCACAGACCTTTCTCTATCCAAATTACAGCTCACCTCCACGTGGAATTTTACCAGGTTGCTCTGGCAAGAACGGTTCTTCATAAATCAATGGTGGTACAGTATATATCTTGGCCCTTTTTTTTGAATATTGGTACCACATTTGCTTTTCGCCAATTTGCTGTTACCATTCCAGTCAGTAAGTCATCCTTAAAAATTAGAATGGCTTTAACATGGGTAAATTTCAGGACTGGATAAACAAAAATAAAAAATTTTTTGTCGGGTAAAACATCTCCTATACAGGTATTTCATCTGTTTATTTACCTGTTTACCTGGACTTCAGCTTTACGTTACCTATATCACTTGAGTGCCCACAAATACAGCTTAAAGCGATACTAAAGGTTCACTATTTTTTTTTTGTAAAATAATAAACATGGTATACTTACCTGCTTTGTGTAGTGGTTTTGCACAGAGCAGCCTGGATCCTCCTCTTCGTGGGTCTCTGGCATGCTCTCCTGGCCCCTCCCTCCCGTTGGCAGCTTGCTATAGGGGCACCCACTGCTCCGTGTGTCCATTCATACACGGAGCTGCGGCTTGGCCCTGCCCCCTCTCTCCTCATTGGCTGACTGGCTGTTATTGACATCAGTGGTAGCCAATGGCTCCCACTTGCTGTCTTAGCCAATGAGGAGACAGAGACCTGGGACAGCTGAGGCTGTCATGCACATCACTGGATCTCGATGGGGCTCAGGTAAGTATTGAGGAGACTGGGGGAATGCTGTACACATAAGGTTTTTTGCCTTCATGCATAGAATGCATGAAGGTAAAAAACCTTGAGCCTTTACAATCACTTTAATCTAAATAAAATCATATGAAAAATAAGATAAAACTGTTTAAAAAACAATTAATAGCAAATATGTGTGATACTAACCTCTTGAGGGCCACTGAGTTTTTCAATGCCTCTAAGCTCTGCACAGCCAGGCAACACACATTTTCCATACTTTCATCCACAGTCCGTAAACAGTCCATGGGCTTGTTTTTTTTTTTTTTATTAGGGATTAACAACTTGGATAGGGTAAATGGGGTTACAGGATGCTCAATTTGATTGAAGAAATAGCAGAATGAGGATGTTTTTTGCTCTAGCACACTTTAAAAAAAAAAAAAAAAAACTGCAAACATTTGACTGTGTTCCAGCTGGAACCATCACAGTCCTTAGTAGAATAATCCCCCTCTAGGAGCTTGGTGTCCACTGAGTGCTTTTTTTTAGCGACGTGAGAACGCGTAGGTTAGCCCCCTTTGTGCACAGAATACCAGGCCACCTGGTTATGGTATCTGATCCCAGGACAAGGGATTGGGTAAGCTATGAACTGTCCCCTGAAGACTTGCCAGAACATGCATCCAGCAGACTTCTCCATTCTAGGCCCTGGGGGTGTAGAGGTACTCACACTGTCCTTGACCTGCAGCTGTTCATAGAACTGCTTTCAGGCCTTCCAGCTGGGCATGTTCCTCTCCAAGCTTTGCAGACTGTCCTTCCCCAGTGGATTGCAGGGCAGTGGAGCTCCCTCTTTCAGCGTCTCTTCAGCCTCCGGCCTCCAGCTTCAATGCAGAACCCCCCTCCTCTGGGGCTCCCTCCAGAGGCTACACCACAACACCTCTCAGCAATCCATCTTCCACCACACTCCCATGCTAGCATGGCTATGATCTCAAAACAGTAGTTGGGAAAAGGAACCCTTCCTATCTGAGAGACTTGGATCAGTTGGCAAAAGAACAGTAGTCCAAAATTCCAGAAAAAAACTCATTGATGGTTTAAGAAAGCAAATGATTTCAGTTATTTTTTCCAAGGGATGTGCTACCAAATATTAAATTGGGTGTCAATAATTTTGTCCAGACCATTTTTGGGGTTTTACATGGAATGTTTCAGATTTGGCAAACAAAAGAATTTAAACATGAGAATGCCTAAACGTTTGTAATTGCAGCAATGTTCTTGGCGAAGTGGTGCATTATCTGACAGAAATGCAGGGGTGCCAATATTTTTGGCCATGACTGTATGTATAAATTTAAAATAGTATGGTTTTTTAAAACACACTTGACACATGTTTATTAATCATTTGCCCTCCAGAGGATTTGTACCCTCCCCCCCCCCCCCTTCCTGACCAGGTCATTTCTTACATTACTGCGCTGTTACTTTAACTGGCAATTGCATGGTCATGCAACACTGCACCCAAATGAAATTTACATCCTTATTTTCCCCACGAATAGAGCTTTCTTTCGGTGGTATTTAATCGCCTGTGCATTTTTTAGTTTTTGCACTACAAAAAAAAAAAAAAAAAAAAGCCCAACAATTTTGAGAAAAAGGTTTCTGGCTTTTTGCCATTAAACATGTCCAGTAAAAAAAAATTAAAAAATCAAATTTCGTCATAAATTTAGGCCAAAATGTATTCTGCTACATGCCTTTGCTAAAAAACAAAATCCCAATACGTGTAAATTTATTGGTTTACGTGAACGTCATAGAGTTTACAAATGGCGGTATATATACTTGGATTTTTATTTTTACTAGTAATGGCGGCAATCAGCGAGTTATAGCGGGACTGTGGCAGGCATCTTGACACTGGGGGGAACTGACTTGGTGTCAATGACATCCCCAGGGCCACCAAAACAATGATTGGTGCTTTAAAAAGCAATGATGCTGTACTAATGGCCCTGGGCAGGAAGGGGTTACGTGGGGTGATGAAAGGGTTAACAGTGTGCTGTTTTACTAAGGGCTGTGTTTACTAAGGGCACAGCCATGCAAAGCAGTGTGCAGGAGCTGACAGGGGAGAGAACTGTATTTTATATGCAGGACTTTTCTGATCTCCATGGCTCAGTATCTAGCCTAGTCAGTGCTTCCACATAAGAGCTAACAAACTCATTGACTATTCACTGACACTAATTGCAATTTAAAAAGCTACAGATGTGGGACATTAACCTCTAATTGGAATTTTAACCCGTGTGTGTCATCTTGTGTGTCTTTACCAAACATTCCAGGGTATGTAAACTTTTGATCATGGCCATTTGGGTGATTTCTGTTATCATTATGATTTAAAAAAGGAGCCAAACAACTATTTGATAATAAATGGCTTCATATGATCATCATCCTTCAAGAAAAGCACATTTTTTTTTGGCATGATCAGTCATATTTTCAATATCAATGTCAATTTTGCACAATTTCTGCCAGGGTATGCCAACTTTTGAGCACAACTGTGTATGTGTGTGTGTATATGTGTGTGTGTGTGTGTATATGTATGATATATATATATATATATAGTCCCATTACAGTACACATATTACCTATCCCCCACACATGTACAATTCGGACATACAGATTTACATAAACCCCATATTATGCTGCACATATTAGCAATCCCCACATATACTGTACAGATACACATAAAACCCCATTACAATACATATATTGCCTATCCCCCACACGTGTGTGTATATGCATATCCCCCATTATGCCACACGTATTAGCAATCCCCACACATGTGCAGTTAGGATATGCATAAACGTCATAATGCACATATTACCTATACCCCCCCCCACATATGTACAGATATACATAAACCCCACTATGCCACAAATTTTAGCAATCCCCCCCCCCACACGCACAGATATACATAAACACCATTACACTACACATATTCGCTATCCACCACACATGTATAGATGAGGGGGATTTCTAAAATGTGTAACGAACTGGATTTTAAGTATATCTGTATGTCTTAACTGTACATATGTGGGGTATAGCCAATATGTGTAGTGTAACAGGGCTTATGTATATCTGTATGTCCTAATTAAATAAACAGTAAGTTTACTGTATGTGAGTGTGATGATGTGAGGAAATGTATTGTAATTTTTATCATTTGTTTTTTAATGTATATCAACCTTATAAGTGGCATGGAATGTGCTTCTTGGTAAGTGCTCATAGATTCACCTTATGGAGATATTAAGAGATCTCTGATGTCTGCCCTGTGTACTAGAGATGTGTCCCCAATCTTCTCCCACAGTGTTGCTTTGACACTTAGGCTACTTTCACATTGATTAGTTTTTGAAGTGTTTTTGTGTTAAAAAAAAAGCACCTGAAAGCTCAAGAAAAACACTTCCCTGTGTATGTGAATGTGTATGTGAATGTATATCTATGTATGTTTTCACACTGAGGCGTTGCTCTTGTGGTGAGGTGCAAAAACTGCTTGCAGCATCTTTGGGGTATGTTTGGTGAGTTAAAACAAAAAGCCCCCAAAACACCTCTTCCCATTGAAATCAATGAAAAGCGCCTCAAAAATGCCTCTGAGAGAAGCGTTTTTAGTTTAAGTCCTGTGTCCTTTAAAAATGCTCAGAAAGCACAGCAAAAGTGCGGTAAAAATGCCTATGCATTTTTGCTGTGTTTTTGCAGTGGATCAGTGTGAAAGTAGCTGAATCCTGAAATGAAGACTAAGTAGCTCAGATGTAAGGAGTTTAATATTAGAATGTTTGAAAACCCAGCAAGCATAGGATTCTGCAGAGGTAACAATTCCATATTAGGAGCGTGCCTGAAATAACCAGAATTTTATGGTTTGATGTGGCAATCATGTTTGGGTGTGGGTTGTAATTAGAGATGAGCGAAGTATTCAAAAATTCGATTCAGCTGATTCGGCGAATTCGAGGAATAAATTCGATTCAATGCGAATATATTCGCTGCGAATTTAACTTATAAAAAGGGTTTCTTCTAGGCTTCAGAGAGCCTTTATATTAGTGCAGAACACTGTACCTTTAATTTAAATGCCCTTGGAGTCTGCTGGGGAAGAGAAATAATACTGTCAGTCAGTATGACATGCAGATGAGTGCCGTCGATCTTAGAATCACCGCACACTTCACTCATTTGGGCAGTCACGGGGCCAAAACCAGAGTGTGGAGCCACAGTGTGGCGGTGGAGGCAGCAGCAATGGGAGGCCATACAGCACCCTATGACAAAAATGGAACCCACCAGCAGTGTGAGGAGACCTGAAAGTGGCACATGGCAGAGTGTGGCGATGGAGACAGCAGCAATGGGAGGCCGTACAGGGACCCATGACACACTCTGGACCTGGCAGCAGCATGAGGAGGCGGTACGGGGGCCCATGGCAGATTACGGGCCTGGCAGCAGCAATGGGAGGCCCGTAATCTGCCAGCACCCTATGACAAAATGGAACCCACCAACAGTGTAAGGAGAACTGAAAGTGGCACATGGCAGAGTGTGGCGATGGAGACAGCAGCAATGGGAGGCCGTACAGGGACCCATGAGACACTCTGGACCTGGCAGCAGCATGAGGAGGCGGTACGGGGGCCCATGGCAGATTACGGGCCTGGCAGCAGCAATGGGAGGCCCGTAATCTGCCAGCACCCTATGACAAAATGGAACCCACCAACAGTGTAAGGAGAACTGAAAGTGGCACATGGCAGAGTGTGGCGATGGAGACAGCAGCAATGGGAGGCCGTACAGGGACCCATGACACACTCTTGACCTGGCAGCAGCAAGAGGAGGCGGTACAGGGGCCCATGGCAGAGTGGCGAAGCGTAAGCAGCTTAAATTGAAGGCCATACAGAGGCCTATGTTAAAAATAATAACATGTTTGGGGCATGATTCATGGCGGATTTAGTCAGTTGTGTCAGGAACTGGTGGTTTGAAATCCAGACTAATCCACGCCTGATTCATTTTCACAAACGTGAGTCTTTCTCACTTTGGGTGGACAGTCGTGTCCTCCGCGGAGTTACAATACCTCCTGCCGCACTAAACACGCGCTCCGATGCCACGCTACTGGCCGGGCATGACAGCCTTTCAAGGGCAAATTCAGCTAGTTGGGGCCAAAGGTCAAGTTTCGTTGCCCAGTAGTCAAGGGGATTGTCTACCTCGGTTGGCAGGGTGCTGTCCAAGTAGGCCCGAGCCTGTTGTTTGAGGTCCTGCTCCAGGTCCACCTGATGCTGCTGCTGCTGCGGCTGGTTAGTAGTTTCCTCACTGCGCTGGTGAAGAAAGCTACTCATCATCGACTGCAGACTGAGGCAGCTGCTGCTGGTGGAGCTGCCACTGCTCCTACCACCCCACCCCTCCCCTGCTGCCATGGCAGCGGAACGCAAGTGCACAGGGCCCACAGTGTCTGAGGATGGACGTTGGCGCAGAAAGGCAGAGACCAACTGACTACATAGGTGGTTTTTATAGTACGTTATTTTGGCCTGCCTCTCAGCAGGTGTGAAAAAGGCCACCATTTTTGAACGGTAGCGAGGGTCCAACAAGGTGGACAGCCAAAAGTCATCCCTCTGTCTGATGGTTATTATTCGGCTGTCGGTACGCAAGCAACTGAGCATGCTATGGGCCATTTGTGCCAAGGAATGCGAGGGACTCCCTGCCTCCATCTCCACAGCATACTGCCACGGTGCGTCTGGGTCCTCTGTCTCCTCTTCCTCCTCCTCCTCCTCTACCAGATGCTCCTGCTCCTCCACTCCTGTCCGCTGAGTGGAAAAACCACCCATTTCACTCAATAATTCCTGAGCACCAATGTCCTCCTCTACCTCCTCCTCTTCTTCCTGTCCTGCCCCCACAGGGGTCATGTGGCGTTGAGATCTGTGCGCCACGTCTACCGCACCCTGACCAGCCATTGTTAACAGCATTTGTTCCAGGACGTGCAACAGAGGAATGACGTCGTTCATCCCATAGTCCTGCCGACTCACGAATAGCGTGGCCTCCTCAAAGGGCCTGAGCAAGCGGCAGGTGTCACGCATGAGCTGCCAATGGCTGACATCTAAGTTACACAGGGGAGTACCTTTATCCGCTTGTAACATCAGGAAATCGGTGATGGCCTTTCGCTGTTCGTAAAGGCGGTTAACATATGTAGGGTTGAATTCCACCTTGTTGCAACGTCACAGCATGAGGAGTCGGTACGGGGGCCCATGGCAGATTACGGGCCTGGCAGCAGCAATGGGAGGCCCGTAATCTGCCAGCACCCTATGACAAAATGGAACACACCAGCAGTGTGAGGAGACCTGAAAGTGGCACATGGCAGAGTGTGGCGATGGAGACAGCAGCAATGGGAGGCCATACAGGGACCCATGAGAGATTCTGGACCTGGCAGCAGCATGAGGAGGCGGGCGGTACGGGGGGCCCATGGCAGATTACAGGCCTGGCAGCAGCAATGGGAGGCCCGTAATCTGCCAGCATCCTATGACAAAATGGAACACACCAGCAGTGTGAGGAGACCTGAAAGTGGCACATGGCAGAGTGTGGCGATGGAGACAGCAGCAATGGGAGGGCCGTACAGGGACCCATGAGAGACTCTGGACCTGGCAGCAGCATGAGGAGGCGGTACAGGGGCCCATGGCAGATTACAGGCCTGGCAGCAGCAATGGGAGGCCCGTAATCTGCCAGCATCCTATGACAAAATGGAACACACCAGCAGTGTGAGGAGACCTGAAAGTGGCACATGGCAGAGTGTGGCGATGGAGACAGCAGCAATGGGAGGCCGTACAGGGACCCATGAGACACTCTGGACCTGGCAGCAGCATGAGGAGGCAGGCAGAACCGCCGTATCTTTATCACGGTTTTCCCAGGCCACCAAATGGCGACGCTGCATATGCTGCCGCAACGCTGTAGTCCCAACATGGGCCCCCTGGCCACGCTTGACTTTCTGGCCACATAGTCGACATACGGCTACGTTTACTTCCTCGGGCAGCTTGACGAAAAATTGCCACACCGCCGAGTAGGAAACTTTGCCCCCGCTACTCCTCACTGGCTGACTGCTACTTCCTCCGTGCACACCGGCACCACTACTGGCCGTGGTGGTAGGCTGCAGTGGAGCTGGTGCTCTACTCCGTGGCCGTTTGCCTCCACTGACACTGCTGCGACCCTGCTGCCTCCTGGGCAACCCACCGACTGTTTTGCTCGCTGCCAAGCTGGCACCCTCTTCTCCTGATGATGCGGAAGCAGTAGCCTGATGACGACGAGGCTGCCAAGTGCGATCAGCCTCATCATCATCAATTAGGGTCTCCGCCTCACTACTAGCCCCTCGGCTGCGTGTGGGTCAGGAGACAGACCTGTCTCTAGACCGGCTACCGAGCCACTCTCCTCGCCAGTACTTCTTCGCCTGGCTGCTGAAGAGGCGGATGTCTCCCCCCGTTCCTGACCGCCCTCTGTTAGCTCTTCCTCACTGTACAGTGGGGCTGAGCCCACAGCATGAGATACTTTGCTTGGTGAGGGAACACCAAAGGACAGGGGCAGGTAGAGGACACGTGATTTCAGTGGGCTTGGTCCCGGGCCATGCCAACTAACGGTTGTGTCTGACGTACCCACCGAGCGTTGGCTGTAGGTGTCAGAGGTGACCTGGGAAGAGGAAGACGACCGAGCCAACCAATCGATGACGGCAGGGTTGTCGGTGGAGACACGACCGCTGGATGACACCGGGAGCACTGGCCTCTGGCTGCGACTAGTGCTGCCTCGACCCCTTCCTCTGCTGCCACGTCTGCTCGCTCCTAAAACATTGCCTCCTCTGCCACTCCTCTGCATGTTGTCTGACATACTCTTTAATTCAACGATTCTGTGTCCCTGAGTAACAATTCTGTGTCCCTCAGTAACAATTCTGTGTCTGTCCTTGAGTAACAATTCTGTGTCTGTCCCTGAGTAACAATTCTGTGTCCCTGAGTAACAATTCTGTGTCCCTCAGTAACAATTCTGTGTCCCTCAGTAACAATTCTGTGTCCCTGAGTAACAATTCTGTGTCCCTGAGTAACAATTCTGTGTCCCTGAGTAACAATTCTGTGTCCCTGAGTAACAATTCTGTGTCTGTCCCTGAGTAACAATTCTGTGTCTGTCCCTGAGTAAACAATTCTGTGTCTGTCCCTGAGTAACAATTCTGTGTCTGTCCCTGAGTAACAATTCTGTGTCTGTCCCTGAGTAACAATTCTGTGTCTGTCCCTGAGTTACAATTCTGTGTCCCTGAGTAACAATTCTGTGTCCCTGAGTAACAATTCTGTGTCCCTGAGTAACAATTCTGTGTCTGTCCCTGAGTAACAATTCTGTGTCTGTCCCTGAGTAACAATTCTGTGTCCCTGAGTAACAATTCTGTGTCCCTGAGTAACAATTCTGTGTCCCTGAGTAACAATTCTGTGTCTGTCCCTGAGTAACAATTCTGTGTCCCTCAGTAACAATTCTGTGTCTGTCCCTGAGTAACAATTCTGTGTCTTTCCCTCAGTAACAATTCTGTGTCCCTGAGTTACAATTCTGTGTCCCTGAGTAACAATTCTGTGTCCCTGAGTAACAATTCTGTGTCTGTCCCTGAGTAACAATTCTGTGTCTGTCCCTGAGTAACAATTCTGTGTCCCTCAGTAACAATTCTGTGTCTGTCCCTGAGTAACAATTCTGTGTCCCTGAGTAACAATTCTGTGTCTGTCTCTGAGTAACAATTCTGTGTCTGTCCCTGAGTAACAATTCTGTGTCCCTGAGTAACAATTCTGTGTCCCTCAGTAACAATTCTGTGTCCCTCAGTAACAATTCTGTGTCTGTCCCTGAGTAACAATTCTGTGTCCCTCAGTAACAATTCTGTGTCTGTCCCTGAGTAACAATTCTGTGTCTGTCCCTGAGTAACAATTCCCTAAGTAACGGTTCTGTGTCCCTAAGTAACGGTTCTGTGTCCCTAATACAGAGAGATCTGTCTCTCTTGAATGACCAGAGGCAAATGGAGAATTGTAAGATGGCCGCAATTTATAGCTCCACCATTACACAGTGCTGGCTGGCTGGCTGCTGATTGGCTAATGCGATCACATGTCATGAATGAATGCATTATGGGTCAGCGCGCCTTGTCTGCGCGCCTTCCCAGAGATCCCTGCTCTGTCGCCGCACATGTCGCCGCCATTTTTGGAAAAATTTCGATTTGCGCATCCGAAGTCTGCTAATTTTCGGATTCGGCGCAAATCTAAATTTTTCTAATATTCGAAACGAATTCCACTTCGCCGAGTTCGATTCGCTCATCTCTAGTTGTAATGTATGATGGTCCCCAAAACCAAGAGCACAGACTTGGTAACCTTCACACTGACAGAAATGTGGCAATATGTGGATGGCACACTAAAAGTTGTGACTTTTTGTGCTTAATAAACATGGGCAATGCAGTGGCAAATCCTGACAGCAGGTAGGCAATATACACTCACTGGCCACTTTATTAGGTACACCTGTTCAATTTCTTAGTAACACAAATTGCTAATTAGCCAATCACATGGCAGCAACTCAATGCATTTAGACATCTAGATGTGGTTAAGACGACTTGCTGAAATTCAAACCGAGCATCAGAATGGGGAAGAAAGGGGATTTAAGTGACTGTGTATGTGGCATGGTTGTTGGTGCCAGAAGGGCTGGTCTGAGTATTTTCAAAAATTGCTGATCTACTGGGATTTTCATGCACAGCCATCTCTAGGTTTTACAGAAAATGGTCCAGAAAAGAGAAAATATCCAATGAGTGGCAGTTGTGTGGATGAAAAATTTTTTTTTTTTTAAAGCTCTTAGAAGCTATTATCAGCATATTTATTTCTGCTCCTAGAAGCTAAATAACATTATCCTATGTGTCTATGCACACTACCATTCTTGAGCTTCAGCTTCTAGGAGCAGAAAAAAAATCCTTTTTGTAGAGTTTTTTTGGAGTGTTTTTCCAGCAGGAAAAAAAACGCTAAATGCTGCTAAACATTACCAAAATGTTCCTAACAGCTTTTTTTTCCAACTTAGTTTTCCTCTACATATACTGTAAAAACCCCAATAAAACACTTCTGAATGCTACTAAAATGCCACTAAAAACACTATTACCAGCGTTTTTTTTTTTTTTTTTTGTTTTTGTTTTTTTTTAATCCAGCATTTTTTGCACTAGTGTGCGTGGAGCCTAAATGTTTCCCCTTTGGGTTTGTTTATGTATTTACACAAAGATCTGACCAAAGCAGGGCCTGAATCTTTCTTTTGTGGAGAATTCTTGCCAACATTCTCTTGGATGACTTTTCGATCAGTCTGTGTTTCTGTGTAGACATACCGATTGAACTTTATATGTGACTGATACTATGTTTCCCTGCTATTCATTGTTTTTTGAAAGCTAAGCTTATCTTTCTGCTGTACTGTGGTCAATATAAATAATTTATAAAGAAAAATAAAAATTACACAGGCAACATATGAGCATTTGTGACAATCCACCAGCAACAAACCTCCTGTGAAGAAAGTATGTAGGTATCAAATGGGCAATCCCTCCATTTCTAAATCTGCTTCTAGTTTTTGTGACACCCCACATATGTGGTTAACAATAACACATTTTTAGGAGTGTGGCAAGTGCTTACTTATTCTGGGTATCACCAAAAATTTTTTTTCTTTGTTTTCAAGGCATGTCACAAACATTTGTTGCTATTATCTTGGTGAATGGTCACATAACATATACGAGGAATGGGTGAAAGCATTCTTTAAAGACGCCTTGCAACAATATGAACTTCTTTTTCAGATGTTGTCTATACATGGAAGCGAAAAAGTGTGAACAGCAAAAAAGATTTTCTAAACTGACAGGTATGTACAGATTTTAAATGTAACGAAGGTAGTGGACATCTCTTTCCTGGTTTATCTTCTCCCCTTCTTTCTATTTCAGCCTCGCATATGGATATTCATATTAGTATATGTGACGGGAGTGACTTTTGGGGGTGGAGGGACCCCTGTTGTTCCTCTTATGTGTAACCCACCCTGTGCCTGTTAGGGGTCCAGGGTGGTCTGTCCTGATATTGTGTATTGGTGTGGGGGTTGTTCATTGTTCGCTGCCATGTGCTGCATCCCATTGTTCTATTGTGTCTTGCTTGCCAGCAAACTATTATGGGATGTATGTGTCCCTGTATTGTCTGCTGCCACGTGGTGTATCCCATTGTTCTATTGTGTGTCTTGGTTTGGTGGGGGGTGTTTCCTGCAGCCCTTCCCCCTGATGGGAGGGCCTGCTGATCCCCGCCAGCGGTGGTGTCCGTGGATCTATGTCCGGCCCAGGGGCGGACTGACCGTATGGAAACTCGGGCACTGCCCGAGGGCCCGGGGTCAGTAGGGGGCCCCATGAGATGCCCCTGGTACCTTTTTTTCATAGGCTTTTTTTGAGTTTGGGCAAGGACACGGGGGGCCCATAATCTCCTATTGCCCGGGGGCCCCATGAGTTGTTAGTCCACCCCTGCTTCGGACAGGGAAGTGAGAGTCTAACGGAAATACCAGTCCGGTTCCGTTACAGTATATTCCTCTGTTTAGTAATTTAAAATATAAAGGTGGGTCAAGGCAAAGGGCATTGGATGGGAGATTTGAGCTTCTAGAGATGATGTTGATCAAGAAATCAATT